CTACACACACACACACACACACACACACACACACACACACACACACACACACACACAACATGCAGACAGACACACAATCCCATTCTCTCTCTCCCTTTCGCACTGTCAGACTTTCCGACGCCATATACATGTATATACATATACATACACTATGTATGTATATGTACATATACATCTATATGTTGATATTTATAATATATTAGAGATATTATTTTTTATCCATTACTATTTCGCTTATATAAAGAGATATTATTTTAAGATAATACTCTAATGGCGAGGGAAGCCGGGTGGAACGAACGCGCCGTCCGCTATATATTCACTACGTGATTTCGTGGCGAATCGAGGGGCCCGTGACCCTCTCTTCTTTTTCCCTCTCTTTTTCACGTGTAGGATGTCTGTGCGAGATCATCTATCAGTGTGTGGTACGCGTATGCGCGCGCGCGCGCGCGCGTGTGTATGTGTATACGTATGTGTGTGTGTCTGCGACTCGTGTACGTGTAGATAATTCTCGGTAATCTTCGCTGTCGCACTAGCGACCGCAGCTCGCAGGTTCGTCGAGTTCGTAATTGTACACTCGGCAACGGAAAACCCCTTTCTGGATCGATGAACTTAACACTTTCTACGCGCGTTCCGAGCGAACGCTGAGATCAAAACTATATTGTACGCTTTTCTTCTTTTTTTTTAAGAAAAATAGGAAAAATACACGAGGCTTGCGAAAATCGCAAGGTTGTCCAGTACGCAATCTTTGCGAAATTATCAATAATCTTTTCTTTGTCTAGCCCTTTTGGCACAAATCAAGCATCGCAGGATTAGACAAATAAAACGTTAGATACGTATCTTCTCCTTGGCTCATCAACGATTGAAAAGAGTGACAGTCGAAGATACGAATGTAAGCATGCTTTGACCGAATATGATGTATAAAGCTTAAAAGCAGTCAGAAGATCGAAAGTTATTTCTTTGGACATGATTTGAACGCCATTCAGTCACAATTATTATTAAAATATTAAAAAAGAAACTACGAAAAAGGAAAATCGGCAAAGCTCCAAGATCCATCATGCTAATCAAGCCGCCTCCGTTCCCAGCAAACGTTCGACCCAAAGAAATCTCAGGAACGAGCAGAGAGTTTTTTAAAAAAAACAGCAAAACACCGGCGGTGTTGAGTGTAGTCAAAAGTTCGGCGATGAGGGCAATCGGTCCGTGACTCGTGATTCATTTCGGACCTTAGCCTCCGCGGTGGAAAGAAAAGAGAGTAGCGTCTCGGTAACCATCAGTCTCGCTACTAGTGATATCAGTCGTAGGATATTGCAGCAGTCGATCTTTTGCGGGCAATAGAGAGGCTTTTCTTTCTCGCACGTTAGTCTGGACGGTACGATGAGAGTTACTCGTTCGGTGCCCTCGTACCGTCTCTCTCATACCTCAAGGCTTATTAGAGTACTCGACGAGCCGCGAGCCCAATCTATGCAAGCGTCAAGGGACGGGGGGACGGGAACAGGGTGGAGCACAACGGGAGGGGGGGTGGGGGGAGAAGGGGGAAGCGATGGCGATGACGTGGGTGAGTGTTTCCATCCCTATCTCTGTCTCTTTAAATATATATCTCGTAGAACTTAAAAGCTGGCTTCGTTGTATCCGGTCAGCGGGAACTCGACGGACTCGACGATCGGCCCCGAATGATCGATTCGTCGAGGCGAATCCCCGTCGCGTAAGAGATTATTATTGGCAGCCGTGGAATTGAGACTTTGTGCGCGTTCGGTCCCCTGACGACGACGGCGTCACACCGGCATGGTAGGTTTGTGACGGTGATTGTGACAATGATGACGATGACGACGATGACGGCGACGACGACGATGGCGGCGGCGACTGCGATGACAGCGAAGAAAAAAGGCCAACTTTGAGGATTGCCGAGTGGTTTTATCGCGCGGACATCGTCGTTGTCGCGGGCGCCAATGTTATTCTCCAACTTGGTCATCACGCCTGCTGGAACTGTTAGTAGCCGGCCGTGCTCGAGGAGCCGTAGAAGGTGAATTGCTGGTACAGCCGCTGTGTCCACCAGGTGTCGCGACTCGGGAAACTGACGGGCGACGGGGCCCCTCTTAGGAGAAGATACGGAGCACCTGCAGGACACGCCTGGCGCATACCGGGCAGTTTGGGTCGTCGCTGTCGCAGACCCGATTGCCGCAGTCCATGCAGAAGAGATTGTGTCCGCAGGGTACCAGTGCCGCGTTGACTTCCTTCTCGCCGCATACGACGCAGTCCCGCCGTCCGCCGCCCAGAAGCGAGTCCGTGGGCGACGCCGGGCTCGCCGTCGCCGGCGGCGACGGCCTCGAGGGTAGCGCGACACTCGGAAACGACCAGATCGACGATGTCGAGGTCGGCTGCGACTCGAACGACGGCGAGTCGCCGAGTCCCTCGTCTCTCTCCATCGTTCCGCTCCAAATAGAGACGAGGTCGGTCATCCCCATGCCAGCGGTGCTGCTGGTCGAGCTGCTGCAGCTGGCACTGCTCGAGTACGCCCCGTTAGAGCTGTTAGAGCTGTTGGATCCCGGTTGTTCGATACTTTGAATACCCAGAACCGAGCCAAGACCGCCGCGACAGAGAGCGCCGAGCAGGTCGGTATCGTCGACAACGCCGGGTGCGTTGCCGGTCCGCAGGGTGATGTGAGCCTGTATCTCGCGTCTGGCCGCTTCGACGCTTTCCGGTAGTCCCGTCACCTCAAATACGGGCTCCTTGTCGCGACTGGGCGTCACGATGTAGGTATGCGTCTGATGCTGAATTCGCTTGATGGTCGCGCCTTTAGGGCCTACGACCAGACCCACTACTCTGTAGGGCACTCGTACCTGAATCGTTATGTGACCGGGCACCGTCGCGGGTGGCCCGGGTGGCGCGCCTAGGAGAGCGCCCAACGAGCTCTTGCGCGACGCGCGAATCTGCGAGAAGTGTTCCGCGGCGGAAAGAATCTCGCGCTTCGCACGGGCCACGTCCTCCTTGCGACCGGTGACGACGAAGACGGGTTCTTCACCGCGCACCGGCGTCTTGATGTAGGTGTTCGTCTTCGCTCGAAGGGCTTTGATCTTGCAGCCTGTAATCAAACCAAGAAAGAAGCGTTAGTTACTCGGCACGAATATTCTCCCGTTCACAGATTAAACATTTAACGGTCTACGACCACGCTTGCTATTTTTTCACGCATTTCAATGAACGTTCGAGTAAACGTTCGACGCACGTAATGAGAGAAAATTGATTGCAATTATCACGCTATTGTGCACCCTCGTGTGGCGCGCGGGGTTTACTTCTTGTATTTTCATGCCGAGGCACCGGAGTCGCCCGCACGCGCGGAATAAACCTTCCAAAGTAGCAGCGCGTCCATGATGCAATTGTTTGCGCACAGAAGGGTACAACGCGAAGGAAAGAGCGGAGAAGAGAGAGAAAAGGAGAGAACTCGACGAAATAGGCACGCCGCGCAGCGCGGCGAGAGAGCAGGGTGCAGGAAACTGGAAGGAAGGAGGTCCCGACCCGGTCTGGTCCTCGGTCTCGCAGACTCTTTGGCCTTGAGCCAGCGCAATGCTAGCAATGCAGGTGAACCACTCCTCCCTCCTTCGCTCCTGGCTCCTCTCCGTCGTTTCCTTCTCGCGCTCATCCTGGGAACCTTCCGTTTCTCTTTCTCCGTCTCTATCCTTGTCGATCTCGCTCTATCCTCCTCTCCCCCCCTCCCACGGGCCTCCCTTTCATTCAGTTCACTCTCTCCTTCGTCGCGATGGAAGGAGAGAAGGCGACGTACGTACGCTGCATCGCATACCACGCAGCTTTTTCGTCTCTCTCTCCCGACCGCGGCGCCGCTACACGATTGTCCCTTTCTCTCCTTCTGCCCCCTTGCCTCATCGTTCCTTCGCAATCAAATTTTGCGTTTTCCAACGCGCGCGAGCGCGCGCCACGCGGCATAAGAAAGCGAAACTCGACGAGGCCAGTATTCAGGGCAAAAGAGCGTGAGGACGGGAGCAAGGCCGCGAATAAATTCTCCAGAATTATTTTGTCCGCGCGCGGATAGAATGCGCTTGGAAACTCGCCTGCCGGTCAGGCGAAGGGCGCCCCCAGGCCTAGAGATCTTTGCGTAAGCGCGACATGCACGCGGCAATGTCACGGACGGCGTTTCCGCTTCTTCAGGGCCGCCATGCGCCGCGACGCGTAATCCTGATGTCGATACGGAACGAAACGCGGTACGTGGCGGTGAACAACTGGCGACACGTACGGCAAAGAAATTGACTGACTTGTAAGGGGGATACGAGAAAGCGCCGTCAAGTCGTCCCGAGGTCGTGAACGCTATTAGAACCCCAATTTTACTCATATTGCACAGCACGCGAGTCGCTGCGCGCCAAGTACTCGTATGCTCGTGCATATATTAAAACCCATCTATTAAATATATTTTAACGTTAGAAAAAGATACTAATTTTTGAGTTTTCTCTTTAATGTTCAATTTGCGATCGTTCGGAGACATTTCACTTTCGGGATAACATTTTTGTATCCCTACAAGAGGTAGGTACAAGGTAGAGGAAATCCCCGAAGAGGACTCGGCTCGCGTGCAACCTGAACCGCGTGCTGGCTCGTACGCCAGCCGAGTTTCCGCTTCTCGAAGGTTCTCTCTCCCTTATTCCGGAAATTCGCCTAGGGCGAACCGGAGCGGCTTCGGTTCGGCTAAATAACTCCGCATCGAGGTAGAGGCAGGTGGACGAGGTGGATCGGAGAATACCCGGACGCGCGCCCGCGCGCACCGCGTGCGTGCGCGCGAGACCAAGTTGTGCACAGGTATACAGCAGGCGCGGCAGGAGAGCGAAGACCCGCCAAGGAGAGGAAGGTTGCCGTGCTCGTAGAACCTCGAGGAAGGTGGCGATGGTGGTTGGCGATGGTACCGATGGTGGTGGCACAAACGGAGAAAGAGGAGAAGGTGGGGCGTGGGTCGTAGACAGTTGAAGGGCCGCGGCCAAGGTGAGGCGAGACGAAGAGATAGGGAAAAAGAGAGGAAAGGAAAGAGAAAGAGAGAGGATAGGGAGGAGAGGGAAAGAGAGGAGAAAGAAAGAAGGCCCCCGTCCGTCAGAGAGAACGCTGCTTGCTCGGGGACCCTTCGCTTTGTTCGCCTCGTCTAAGGGACGAGAGAGGACGAGAAGCGAGGATCGAAAGGAACGAGTCCGGGGCCTTTCGGACGGTCTTTCTTGATCCGCCGCATCGTGTTCCGTACGTACCGTGGAATCGTAGACCAGCGAATCCGGATTCGAATCCGGATTCGACCTCAAGTCAGCTCGAGTGCGCACGGAGCGCGCAACGACCGAACACTCGAGTTCGTTCGAATGCAATCGCGACGTGGACTCGGGGGAGATTTCAATCGTTAAAGAATAATTGCCAGCGAGGTGACTGCAAATTAATTTTTTTCTATCCGTCAAAGAGGGCTTGTCATTCCCGACTAATGCACACGAGACACATTGGTCCCCGGGCGTGAGTACAATCATGAACGAATGCTATTCGATCAAGTTGTGTCTCTCCATTCCCACGATACGTCACGCGTCCGAATGACGTTGCTAAAATCTGCAGCAGCAATGGCAACGACAACGGCGGCGGCGGCGGCAGCAGCAGCAACAGCAGCAGCAGCAGCGGCTCCCCAAAGGCTGCAGGATCAATAGTAACAGGCTTCCACGCGCCTCATGGCTGCATTATGGACGCTCCGTGTAACTCGAGTGCATAGGGCGTCAAATATATAGGCTGCGTCGACGTTTCTAAATTTGTCCTTGTGCCGAGCCCTATATCGATGTTCTTTACTTTTTGTTAATCCTCATTTTAAAATGGTTCGTGCAACAGGACCGATTATGGACAATTGTTGCAACATTATAGACGTTTGAGCGAACTTTTTGAAAATTTAATTCTTATTCCTACTGTACTTCCTCGAAAGGTCAAAGTAACATGTTTCGACGAAGAAAAGACCCGACAGGGACGTTTATGGGCCATCTGCTCGTCTTTGCTTTAATTACGCCCACCGAATACCCCAACGGAGAGATACTATTCCTCGGATACCTACTTGAGCGATTCAATGAAGAGAGGAAAAACGAAATCTTTCCCCCAACTTAATCATAGAGAACATTATCTTGAGGAATTTATCTCTATTAAAAAATATATATATATATATGCTGTTGTATTCTCAATTTTATTACAAATCTTGACTCGCTTTTATTAGAAAATGACAACTGGACGGTTGTAAAGAATCGTCCGCCGTATTTGATCACTCTTTCATATCAGCGCCTCGATTCGTATCGGTAAAAAGTTTTTTTAGAGACACTCGCGTTTCACGAGTGCCGGCCATCGAACCGCATCAGAGAAGCTACAAAGTTAACATCTCGAATGCGTGGCCTCCTCGGTCGTTCGGCGACAGCAGGGTTTGTTTAGGGCTCGATGGACTCTTAAGTAGCGGTACCCTTTGGCGTCGTGGATGCGCCCGTAGGTCCCCAGCACACGGAGCCGGCGGGTTTCTCAGGCAGGTCAGTGAAACTGCGCCGTCAAGTTGAAGGCCAACACCCCCACAATGCAACGGCCGAGCACCACCGCCGCTCCTCCCTCTCCCCCCCCCCTCTCCCGCCATATCGTTAGATCTGCCGCCTCTTCCTCCCGCGTGCCATCCATCCCTCTTCCCACCGTCGCCCCCTTCTAACGTAACCCCACTCGACACGCGCGCGAGCTATACACAGTAGAGAAAACTCCAATAACTCGCCGATAACTCGCTGCCGCCTCTGTACAAATACTCCCTCGCAGAAGTGGACTTGCCGCCCTGGAAACGATTAATCATCCCCTCGTCTCTCGTTTCCCACAACGCACCTGGGGGGTAAACTCCCAAAATTTCGGATTATTCTTCCGCGAAAGGCAACAATACCAGAAGTAGGAACCTTATTATCGTGAAAGTCGTGTGTATATTACTCGAGACCGTGGCTTCTCCCCGCTCCTCGACACGAGATAAACCGACAATATATATATAGGAAATGGGAAGAGATCGACGACCAACACTTTTAATTTTGTTAGCCAAAACCTCCTCGAGCCGCAGCGGCATCGCGTGAATGGAACACGATGTCCCCTTGGCATAACAGAGCGTCGGCAATCCGAGAGCCTCGCCGCGGCTGCGGTTTTCCCTCTTTCTCTCTTTCGCTATCTCCTTCTTTGGGTAGCTCGGCCGAGGAAGACGTAGGAGCATGCGGTCATTCGTGCGTTGACCATCGAGCAATCCAGATCGGCGAGTGCGCGCGCAGGTGCGGTAACGACCCGTTTCGTTCGTCCATCCATCCATCCGTCCATCGTCGCGTCGTCTCTTCCCTCCCCTCTTCCCCTACGCGACGGAGATTTCCTCTTTCTTTCCCTCGCCCTCTCCAGTCTCCGCTCTTCTCTTTCTCTCTCTTCTACTGACCCCTCGCGAAGGCCAGAAATTCCAGCCTCCTCTCGAAATAGATCGATGACACTCTCGACGACTCTGAGCGTACGAGTGCACGCACGCACGCACGCACGCATCGTCCCTCTCACCACGCGCATTCTCTCCGTGTCCTCTCTCTCCTTCTCTCCTCTTTCTCTCTCGAAACTGATGTCTCTGAAATAACCGAGGCGAGGCTCACTCATCGGACTGGGGAATAAGGTGCAACGCACGCACGCGTTCACCAGCACGTCTCCTTCCTCTCTTCTCTACCCCCGCGTCTTTTCGCGTCTCTCTTTCTCTCTCTCTCTCTCTCTCCTTCTTCTTCTCCTTTAATCACTCTCGCTCCGTCGCCGTCTCATCCTTCTCTCTCGCTCGGTCCTCCCCCCCCCCCGTTTCCCTTTCTCTCGCTAGCAACTCGCTCGCTCGCAGTTGCAACTGCCGTCGCGTCCCGACACTGTCTCGAATGGCAGTGGAGGTCATACTATATTAAGATTGAACTCCACCGACACCGCGCGCGGCCCAACGGCGTTTGTTCTCCTACTCTTTCCTTCTTTCTCCCTCCCGCCCCTCCCGTTCTCCTCTCTTTCTCCGTCTTCCGCTTCTCTTTCTGATCACACGCCACGCATTCTTTTTCTTCGGACTCGAGC